TTTTTAGCTTTTATTTATTGCTTGTCAAAGATTAGATGTCAAAGAATTTAGATACGTTAATTTGACTTACATGCTTCAGTAGCGTATCGGATGTTTGTGTTAATAAATACTTATTATAACTTATCTATTTTTATTAGAATTATATATTTTATAACAATTTTAATAACTACCAACATTTATTCACAACGTAAAATAAAACAACAAATTATTGAGTCTACCCCACGTCTACCCTACATCATAGTTTTACATTTTTAAATAAAATTAGAACGACACTGATAAACCGGAATTTAAGTCGGCCATATTTGAGGCCCATCGCGGTGTACCTAAGATTTTTGATATGCTCCTTCCTTAGTCTTCTTATTCAAAGATTTTATCCATGACTAACAGACGACAATTTCATTTAATGACATTCATTTATCGAATTTTAACTACAGATCAGCATCCCTATTTGTTCTCATTGTTTCACTACGTTGACCATGATCATTCGACTAGACAAGTGCATTATTTTAAAATTCCTCAACACCGAACAGCTAACTTCCAAAAATCTTTCAGTTTCATGGCGCCACATTTGTGGAATAATATTTCTAATAACTTTAAATTTCAATCCTTTACAGATTATAAAAAACAAATTAAAAATCATTTACTAAATTCGTAAATATTATAATTTCTTCCACTGATTTGTGAGATCTTGTTCTTCTGATATGCCCGTCATTGGTTGCTGTTCCGGTTTTTACACTGTTTCATTGTGCCTCTCTGCTTATCTCCGCTCGTCCCTGATAAAATTATATTTTCACTTTTTTTATATAATTTTAATTTTGTTTATTTCTATAATTTAATTTATTTCTATTTTGTATTTGGGGTCGCACCACTCTGGCACTTTGGGCCATTGTATCGGGTTTTTAATCGCGGTGCGATCCCTTTAGACACACATTTATTAATACTAATATTATTCTGTAAAACTTAATGGGGTCTAATAAAGAAATTTGAATTTTGAATTTGAATTTGAAAATGAGTGGGCGGAGCGATTTACGTTGACGCACTCGTCAAATCGACGTATAAAATATATTGCTGTTTATTTAAATGTTTTTTGTCCGCATTCCTTTCATAGACACAGATCCAGCAGATGTACAGTACGTCTGTCCGTTCTGTAGCTACGGGGTATCCGTGAGAGGGGAAACGATATTCTCTCGATGTTTTTCGTAAAAAATTAGACGACGCGTCCCATCAATAAAAATTCGACAAATTTGCAAGTAGCCAATAAAATGAGTGGGCGGAGCGATTTGCGGTGACGTACCCGTCAAGTCGACGTATAAAATATATTGCTGTTTATTTAAATGTTTTTTGTTCGCATTCCTTTCATAGACACAGATCTAGCAGACGTACTGTACCGTACACTATGGTAAACAACAAAAAATGAATCGATTCGTTATTTCAAAAGCTTCATTTTTGCTTTATATGAGTTTTGCGATAAAACGCAAGATTTCCGAGTTATTTGTAAAAAATTGCAGAAAAATATGCAGTTTTTAGATGAAAAACCAACATTTTCAATCTTAAATAACTCGGAAAATACTAATTTTCTGAAAAAATATTGTAGAACATTTTTTGCTTAGAATTCATCCCTTTATTGATTTTTGTAATTAAAATTGGTGAATTATTTTTCACCCCTGAGAAGGTGTGGTACTCACCCCTAGGGTGAAAGCACACATCGCTACTATGTAACTTCTGTTTCTTACATATATCTCTATTGACCATGGGCGCCGGACAGGGGGGGCAAGAGGGGGCATTTGCCCCCCCCTGGATCACTGAAACAATAAAAATAAAAGCTATCTTCCATCATTACATCCATCTGTAAAAAAATAATTATTATTATGAAATTTTTAGGTGTTACCTGTAAAATAATAAAAAATGTGGTAATTATTGGGAAAACTGGAAATCGTCCGATTTTCACCAAAATTGGTATACACACTATTTTGAGGTCGTAGATTACGTATCTACTTTTTTCTTGGCGGTTTCTTACCGTTTTTCAGAAAAACGGAAAATTATTTCAACATTGAATTTTTCTTTATTTCGGCCCTATAAAGTAATAATTTCACTATGTTTTCATTATATTATCTAAAAGTTTATCTAAAAGCCACACTTGATTGGGGATAGAAAAATGTCCAACATTTTACTGAAAAAGACTTTTCTTAACAAAGTAGCACAGATACTACAAAATAGCAAAGAAAATTGAGACCAGATGGAAGTTTGACATTTGATATATCCTTCTTTCTGTATCCTATGTAATAAGAGAGACAAATATATTCTAGACCTAATCTAGAAATTTGAAAATTTACAACGTTGCCATAATATCTTCTATTTTTTCGGGTGATTAGGGATTTTAAATAAATTACCTATTATGAGATCGACAATAATTAAATATATATATAATATAATATACCTATATCCACAAAAGTACGCGGAAAAGTTTTGATTGCATTGGTTTTAACTTCTTTGCGGAGGGGGTTAATCTTTTTTTGATATAATATAACAACAAAAGATTAACACCCTCTGCATGGAAGTTGTAACCAATGCAATCAAAACTCTTTTGTGCAACTTCGTGGGTATAAATAGTCAGATCTCGTTGGTAAAATATCAGTTATGGCAAGGAGCCGTTCTTCTGGCGACCGCCTTTCGTAATTCCAGAATGAACGAAAAAACACGCTAAATTTAGGTTTAGCATTGGCAACGTTGCTTTAAATGCCAGAAACACATAAACTTACTTCGGGTTTCTCTTATTACCGATTCTGAACCGTCCTAGAACTGTGATGCGTATGCGCAGAAGGAAATATAAAGACATTATTTCGTTTGCGCATGCGCTGCAGAGTTCTTGGACGGTTCAGAATCGGTAATAACAAGAACCCGAAAAAAGCTGTAATCTAACATTTTCAGATTGTTTACAAATTTATTTTAGCAAATTTTCCTCAATTATGCATAGAATTGGTTAAAAAAGTAACAGAAAATAGCAAAAACATTATTGATTATTGAATACCTAACAAAATATGTGCTAGAAAACCTTAAAAATATGAGAAATTAAGAAAAATTCGATATTGAAATTATTTTCCGTTTTTCTGAAAAACGGTAAGAGACCGCCAAGAAAAAAGTTCAGATTCGTAATCTACGACTTCAAAATAGGGTGTATACCAATTTTGGTGAACATCGGACGATTTCCAGTTTTCCCAATAATTACCAAAAATGTCAATTTTCTATTCATGTTTACCTTGCCCCCCCCTAAATTTCATTCTTCCGGCGCCCATGCTATTGACACAAAACATCCCCCTGTAGAACTTTTTCTTTAATGGCTATAAGCGGGAGTAAAAGACCAACCGCCCGAACAAACACTAGAGGCGCCACCGGTCATCAAATGGTGGAAAAACTGCGAAAATTTAATCATCTAATTTTGACACAAGGTGTCGCGCTTAACTTTTAATTTTAATACAATATTCATTGTTTTCAAACTTATTATTAGACTTTGTTGTATTTTGTGAATGTATAAATGTTTTCTTAGTATAAAGTTGCATTATAGTAATTTAAATTATATTACATACATATTTAAGATTCAAATATTATGACATATATGTCAGTTGCCGTCTAAAATGTCATCTTGATAACAAAAAGTAAATTTTTGTCAAGAGTAGTTAAAATCATGTTAAAATATTAAAATTTACAAGTTATAATTAGATATTTTATATTATTTCAACAACAAAGACATAATAGTACAGCGTAATGTTAATATGCAGGTCCAAAACAAAAAGTGCCGTTATATTTTTCAGTTTTCGTTGTCAGCCGCGGAAGTTTCAGTGATTTTAGTGTTGTCGGATATTTTTATTTGTGAAATAGAAATATTGCGTTTGGATTGCAAAACTAAAAGTGGAAGTTTTATTGCAATGTAAGTAAGCATTTTATATTTTACTTTTTTCATACTACGATAAATATACATATATTGAAATTTTATAATTCGTTTTATTTAAAAAATGTTAGAAAACAAGCTTGTAATCCTGTAATTGACATAATTGTTATGTAATATATTCCATTTAAATGTAATATATTACTTTACAATTAAAAAAATTGAAATTTAAAAAATTATTAAAAATATATACAGATATTAATTGAAATTTTTAGTGTGCGAACAAACACGAGAGGCGCTTTATTATTTACTTTCATTTCTTAACATGAGAGACGAAGTTCTAAAGGGGGATGTTTTGTGGCTATTGACTGTTACAATTTCACGTCAATCGGTGCAGGTGTTCAGAATTCGGACCCTAAACCCTCGCTTACTGGCCTAATAATACTTAAAATAATTATAAAAAAAGATGTATAGTATATATTTCATATAAATGTGTGTATCCCACATGAATAGACTGTTACCTTCATCCAAGGATGTCAATCTCTAGTTTCATTGTATAAAAAATAATGATATCTGAATGTAAAAAACATTAGAAATACTTAGAAATATTAATTGTTGTAAAATGAATAAAAAAAAATGAAGTACATTGAATTGATTAAGGGTTGTTTTATTTTTATTTTTATAGTTTTTATTTTGTTATAAACTTATTTTTGAAATAAAACTGAGCACAACAGATGAGCTAGCGAGATGAAAAGTGGCAAGGCAAAAAAAAATAGCAATATAGTTGCACAAACTTAAAATTAACTTCTCACTGAACACACTTCAAATCGTGATACTGAATAATTATTTGGAAAAGCGGAAAGTGCCCTCAACTTTTTTTACTATTTTTAGGAGTACTATCACCCCCCGATTTTTTTTACACCATTTCAATGACACCCTGTAGGGTGCAGAGAATCCTTATTATTTATGATAAAGAAGATGCTACATGATCTTAACATGCTATAATGACGCTGTTAAATTTTATAGTGCAGATTCTTCTTTTGCAGTAAAATTATTCAAATCGAAAAATTTTGTTAAACTGTTTGGAAAAAAGCAATAAATAAATAAAACAATATTATAATTTAAAAATATATATTTCATTTTTACAAGTTGGTACAAAAATATTCGATAGGTTAGGTTGGCTTTTTATTAAAGAACTTTTTAATAGATTACACATTTTTTTAAACCATTAATATTAACCCTTAAAGAACAAGTTTTGAATTTATTTCAAAGAGTTCTTCAATAAACATCACACCTATTACTCGTTTACTTCTTACATTACTCTATAATACTGCAGAATCCTCGTGAAAAAAGTAATAAATTAAAGCTATATACTTCGTTATGTACAAACATCTCATCGGCAAATCTGTTTTTCTCTATCCGTATCCAACTCAATAAACGTAACCTCCGTTGCTTGAGTAGCTCTGTCCACCTCCGTTACCTCCAGAACTGTATCCTCCAGATGATGGAGCGCCATAACTGGATGAAGGAGCAGCTGCCGGTGCTCCATAGCTACTGGAAGGAGCCGAGTAGCTTCCTCCAAATGATCCTCCCGAAGAGGGAGCTCCATAACTTGAAGAAGGTGCAGCTGCTGGTGCTCCATAGCTGCTAGATGGAGCGGAGTAACTGCTGCTTCCTCCGAAGGATCCCCCAGAGGATGGAGCTCCATAACTCGAAGAAGGTGCAGCTGCTGGTGCTCCATAGCTGCTAGATGGAGCAGAGTAACTGCTGCTTCCTCCGAACGAACCTCCAGAGGATGGAGCTCCGTAACTGCTTGAAGGAGCCGAGTAACTGCCTCCGGAAGAAGGAGCGCCATAACTAGATGAAGGAGCGGGTGCTGGAGCTCCGTAGCTGCTTGATGGAGCTGAGTAGCTACCTCCAAATGATCCTCCGGATGATGGAGCGCCGTAGCTAGATGAAGGAGCGGCTGCCGGAGCTCCGTAGCTGCTTGAAGGAGCAGAGTAGCTGCTGCCACCGCCGAAGGAACTGGAAGAAGATCCGAAACCGTTGCTGCTGCCTCCGAAAGATGGAGCACCGTAGCTAGAGCTGGGTTTTGAGGGAGCGCCGTAGCTAGAGCTGGGTTTTGAAGGAGCACCGTAGGAGCTGGATGGTCTTGAAGGAGCGCCATAAGAAGACGATGGTCTAAAAATAAAAAAAAATCATAATTTAATACTAATATTATAAAGTTTAATATACAGGGTGGTCCGAACAGTATTCTGGAAACTTCGGCAGCATATTCTGCAGATAAAAATAAGTTAAAAAATTTCGTATAAATGTATGTCCTAAAATGCTTAATTTCGGAGATACTGGGTGTAGAAGTTTTATTTTTATTTTTTTTAAATTTGGATGAAAATTGATATCTGCGAGTTTTTTGCCATAAGAAATATAATTTTGACAACCTGTGTAAATTTTACAACCTGTATAAAAAAACTAATAATAAAAATAATTGAATAAGTACCTGGAAGGTCCTACTGGGGTACCGTAGCTGGTTGAGGGTGGTAGGTACTTGGAGGAACCACCGTTACCTCCGTTACCTCTGCCCCTGGATGGTGCTCCATAGCTTGATGATGGCGCACCTCCTCCGAAACCACCTCCTGATCCAAAACCACCTGAAAATAAATTTATTTGCCTGTTCAATCTTCTCATCCTGTATACATCATATATAAAGTGGTATTGCTGGATTGATAGATGTATTAGTATAACCAAGAAGTAATTAGATAGTTTTTAGTTTGGTTATACAGAAGAGAACCATGATAGACCAAAATCGGTTGCAATAACAGACCAACAGACCTGAAACATCTAATCTAATTTAAAATTGTCCATATTTCATACCTCCAAAGCCTGATCCAGATGATGGAGCTCCATAACTGGACGATGGAGCTGCTGCTGGAGCTCCATAGCTACTTGAAGGAGCTGAGTAACTTGATCCACCTATTAGAAGTTACAAAAAAAATAATTTTAAATTTTTTATACCTCTCTAAGAAAGAAATAAGAGTATTACCCCCAAATCCACCTCCGTTACCACCTCCAAAGGAAGGAGCTCCGTAAGAGGACGATGGAGCAGCTGGAGCACCGTAAGACGAGGAAGGTGCAGCTGGAGCTCCATAGGATGAGGAAGGAGCACTGTATCCTCCACCATTACCTCCACCAAAACCTCCACCGAAGCCTCCACCGTTGGAAGGAGGAAGGTAGCTGTTGCTCTGTCCACCAGATGGATAACCTCCACTTAGCGGAGCTAAAAGAAACGATTTTTTATTATTATTTGACATAATTATGGTCATTCTCAGTTTATTCAAACATTTCTAATTATAGTTTAGCCTCGCTCACATATTTGGATACTATCTATCTAGTTCGGCTCATTGTTATCTATTGGTAGCTATGTCGGCCCAAGTTATTCCAGCTAACTTCCTAATATTATTGTTGCGGACCCGTGCCGTGTGAACTCAGCCTTAGGCCTGGCCAATCGGCTATGACTCATACGCCCAGCGATGCCGACGTTCTAAAAACGAATAAAAATTGACTAGACAAATCTGGATTGTCTGTTTCTCTCCTATATAAGCAGACGCCGGGGCCTAAGGGAGACAGAGATAAATAACCGATCGACGCGTACAGTTACAATCGCCGCGCTAATTCAAAATAAATTTCTGTTAGATAAATAATTAGATAAATTGTAAATAAGTTATAAATAGTCTTTTAATCGTTATTGTTTTTGTTAATTAGTGTTAAATAAATTGTGTTTAAATAAATTGTGACTTTCTATCCACACCGAACCGACGAAAAACGTAACAATTGGTGTCAAGTGTGGCGTGTGTGATAGACTAGAAAAATAAAAAGACTAACAATGGCTCCGAAGAAATTGTTGAAACACTTGAAAGTGTCCGAATTAAAATGCATACTGGAAGAGAGGGAATGCGAGACAGATGGAAAAAACGCATTTTGCAAGCTAGACTAAGAGACGTTTTGGTGGAGGAAGGCGAGGACCTGACACATTTTACTTCGAGCTGGAAAGTGGCCTTGACTCGTCATTAAAAAATTTGCAAGACAATTTAAACGACAATTTGAATAGTAAAATAACTGACTTGGAAGTTAATTTAGAAGATAAAATCAGTGATAAAATCACAGAAAATTCACAAAAATTAGAAGATAAGATTATAGAAAATTCTAAATATATACAGGCCAGGTTTAATAATAAAATAATAATTTTGGAAGAAAGTTTTAACAATAAAATAACAGAGATTGAGGAAGATATAAATAGAAAAATCGAAATTTTGCGAGAAGAAATAGCAAAGGCAAATTCACCAAAATGTCAAGAAACATCGGAGGGACCGAAACTAGTCGAAAATAGGTATGCATCAAAATCAGTTATGAAACCTCCACAGTTTGACGGAAAAACCGCTTGGGCCAATTATTTTTGCCAGTTCGAGGCCGCTGCGAGAGCGAACGGATGGACAATCACTGAAAAGGCTACCGCTTTGACTGTCGCACTGCGAGGCGATGCGACTGACATCCTGCAGACACTGTCACCATCGAAACAGGGAGATTATCAGCAATTGGTACGACATTTAGAAATGAGGTACGGCCAAGCTCATTTGGAACATGTCCACCATTCCCAGCTCAAAAATCGTGTTCAGCAGCCTAATGAAACTCTAAGAGAATATCAAGCTGAAATAGTCCGCCTTGCTCGCCTTGACAGTACAGGCTTTTATTGATGGTTTACGTGACAACGAGACAAGGCAAACACTTCTTTTAGCTCATCCAACGCATTTGGGAGATGCCCTAGCACGTGCCTGGAATTTGAGGCCGCGAAAGAATGCTCTAGGTCTCTAGGATTGTTGCGGGCTGTTGAGGAGAGTTCCGACGATTACAAAGTGGAAAGGATTGTGCGGAAAGTACTGGATCAGTATATGAGCAAGAAGGGGGGATCGATTCGCTGTTGGAATTGCGGACAGATGGGAAATCGTTGCAAAGAAGAGAAAGAAGTGAAAGGACCACTGTGGTTGGTGATAGTTGGCAAACCGAAGATCTTGCAAATGACCAAATCAGTGATCCAGAGTTGGGCTTGGTGATTAACTGGAAAAACGCGGACCAGAGACCAACGTGGAAGGAAGTTTGCAGATATTCGCCGAACGTGAAGTCGTACTGGTCCCAGTGGAATTCATTGGCAATAGATAACGGATTACTTCGCCGTGTGATTGAGAGACCAGAGGGACAAGAAGAGAGAACGCAGATCGTCATTCCAAAGAAGAGGGTCCCGGAAGTCTTGGCGGAAGTTCACAATGGAACCAGCGGTGGACATCTTGGTGTTAGCAAGACCCTTGGCAAGCTGCGTGAACGGTTCTATTGGGTGAACTGCACAGATGACGTGAGGGCCTGGTGCAAGAAATGCGACGTTTGCGCTGCTATCAATGGACCACAAAAGCGTGGTAAAGCTCCAATGCGCCAGTACAATATAGGCAGTCCTTTCGAACGAATAGCGATCGACGTGGCTGGTCCTTTCCCGGAGACGAACGATGGCAACAAATACATTGTGGTAGTAATGGATTACTTCAGCAAATGGGTCGAGGCCTACGCGTTGCCAAATCAAGAAGCGTCCACCATTGCTGATGCTCTTGTTAAGGAATGGATTTGCAGGTTTGGTGTTCCCATGGAGCTGCATTGAGATCAGGGAAGAAACTTTGAGTCCAATCTGTTCCAAGGCGTCTGTGAGGTCCTTAACATCCGCAAGACCAGGACGACTGCTCTGCATCTACAATCCGATGGGATGGTTGAACGCATGAACAGAACCATCAACCGTTATTTGGTGTTTAAATAAATTGTGACTTTCTATCCACACGGAACCGACGAAAAACGTAACATTATATTAGATTTATTAACAAAACTTACCAGTGCTTCAATTTTTAATGAGTTCAAAGTCTGTTTATTGTTATTAAAAGTCTATTTTCGGTATACTCAAAAAATTATCTTAAAAAACAATGAGAAATAAAGAGGTTTTTTATTATTAGATCTTTTGTTATAAGTGTATAAAAGAAATTTTATCCGTGTTACAAAATACGAACTGTGGCATCATTTTTCTCGAATTTTTCTTTTCCTTTATATAACTCTAGGTATGATGGAAATAATTATGATATTTACGAACAATACACGTGTATACTATACTTACCATCACGCTTGGTGAGTTTTCCGCCTAAAGACACGGACGCTAGACAGCAGATTGCCAAAGTTTGTATCTGAAAATGGAAGGAAATTTGGTATTTTTAACATGTTTTTGTTATTCGAAAAAAATTCTAATACAGCTAGTTTCATCTTTATTCGAGGAAAATATTATTATTATCACCGGATTTTTAGGAACGCTGAGAGAAAAAAAAACTGCGTCAAAGACTGCTGCGAAATCACAACCGATGATAATTTCGGTAAGGTCAAGCCCTAGGCTTCTTTTACTATTATATTACTTCATTTTTAGGGTTCCGTACCCAAAGTATATAAAATATAAATATATATATATATATATATATATATATATATATATATATATATATATATATATATATATATATATATATATATATATATATATATATATATATATATATATATATATATATATATATATATATATATATATATATATATATATATATATATATATATATATATATATATATATATATATATTTTTACCCTTTGGGTACGTGTATATGTTCCCGTCATCCCTTCGTGGGACATAGGGCTTCTAAGAGATGTTTCCATCTGATCCTATTCTGAGCTGTCTGTTTGATCTCTCCCCATGTTTTCCCGACCTCTTGGGCTTCAGAGGTTACTGTTCTTCTCCAGGTATTCCTTGGTCTTCCCCTGGCACGTCTTCCCTGTGGATTCCATTCAAGTGCCTGTCTAGCGATATCTCAGTGGGGTCTGCGCAAAATGTGCCCAATCCAGCCCCACTTTCTTTTCTTAATTTCGATATCTATTCGATTTTGTGATGTTCTTCTCCACAGTTCTTCGTTGTTAATTTGATTGGGCCAGAAAATTCTCAATATTCTTCGAAGACACTTGTTGTAACAAACACCTGTAGGCGATCCATGAGACCACGCGTAACCTTCCATGTTTCGCATCCATAAAGCAAAATAGATTTGACATTGCTATTGAAGAGCGGGACTTTAGTTTTTTTGCTATATATAGAGGAGTTCCACACAGGTGTAAGCATGCCAAAAGCTCTTTGTGCCTTCAAAATCCTTTCCTCTATATCTTTCTCTGTGCCCCCATCGCTGTGAACTATACTTCCCAGGTACTGAAATTCATCAACTCTTTCGATGGCTCGGTTGGAGAGGTATAGAGTTTGGTTGTTGGGAGTATTTGACCTCATTTCTTTGGTTTTCGCCACGTTGATTTGAAGACCGACATTATTAGCTTCCTCTTGGAGTCTAAGAAGCTTTTGAGACATATCCGAATGTGAATGGGAAAGGGTAAAAACGGGAACCCTATTACTAAGACTTCGCTATCCGTCCGTCCGTCCGTCTGTCGCAAAGGTCTATCTTATGAACCGTTATAGCTAGACAGTTAAAATTTTTACAGATACTGTATCTATGTTGCCGCTATAAGAACAAATACTAAAAACAGAATTAAATAAATGTTTATAAATAAAAAAGTACTTTCTCTAAACATTATCTTTTAAGTAAGAATTGTACATAGAATCTTTCAAGTTCTCAGTAAGGCAGTAAGTCTCAGTAAGGCAGGTTCGAATCCTAGTCAAAGCGACTTTTTTTAATCGTTTTTTTTAATTTTTACATATTTATTTTTACTTTTTACATATTTATTATTGATTAATACAGTTTTTAGTAATGTGTTTCTTCATTTTTTTTTAAATTACTTATGCGCATTCAAAATTTCAGCTAAATCGAAAAAAAAGTTTATAATAATATATGTCTAAGGTTGTATAGATAATGAATGGTACGGAACCCTTCGTGCCCGAGTCCGACTCGCACTTGACCAATTTTTAGTAAATGACGTCTAGAGATTGGCCTCTCCAAAATTATCATCGATTGTCTTTTCCTAGCCATCTTTGACGACGTTTATTTTTTCGATCATGCATATGAAGTTACTTTCTTTTGACGAATTTATATTGCAGTGAGCTGTCTACATAATTTAAAGTCTATAATACATCCTTCCTTGTTTAATCTAACGACTTTACCATAGAGATAAAAGCACTTTCACAAAAAATACGTGAAAGATATACAGGGGCATGATATTTTTCATTTTCGTTTCTCCGAAGGCACTAAATCAGGTCAATTATACAGGCCAGGATCTGTGTCGTGTTTAATTCATTATTATTATTATAGCTGTTAAATATAATGACAATAGCAATAAAAACAGTCCTTCTTTATTCGTCAAATTCTTATGTTCCTTACCTCAAATTTATAATATGTTAATGAAGAAAAATAAAGTAAACAAAAAATATGTTTTAGTGTTTTTTTTGTAACCATTCTAGTATATAATTTTGAATTTTAAGAATAATTTTGGTAATTTCACTGTTTTTCTAGTAAATTCTTTCTGGATAATTTAGTATAGTCTATTACTCTGTACTTCCGAATAGTTTTATACAGGGTTGTTCACCACATACGACACGGAATATTGTAGCTAAACGATTAGATTTTTATAAATTGTAAGTTTTGGGTTCGTTGAAGGACTATTAGAGCTACAATTTAAAAATAGTTTTACAAGATACAGAGTGTACCAAACGATTAAAAAATATTATAGTTGTATTTTTTTAAATGGAACACCCTGTATATTATTCTATTTTTGGATTCTACGATTGAAATAAAGGTAAATTTGATTAAGGTTTATCACACTTAAACCTTACCGTTTTTTAAATATTTTCAATTTTATGAAATTGCAGTAAAAATTTTAAGGCTTCATTTCTCCAAGGGTATCAAAGTTTTCAATACTAAATATTTACTGAAGATTATTTATTGATCAGATATTGTGTTGCAATAATAAAAATTTTACTACCTTATACAGTGTCCAAAAATGTATATTAAATAATTACTAGCTTTAAACGGCAATAACTTGTTTAATTTAAATAGAACACCCTATATATTTTAGGTGAATCAGATGCACAATATAATTGTCTATCAAATTGTATTATACCATTTTCACCCATCTCTTCAAGTTTTCGTAGAAAATGCATTTTCTTATAATTTAGACCTTATTTATCACTATACCCATGGAATATTGACATTTCAGATTTTTTTAAAGCAACATATATGTACAAAGTCCATTGGTATACAAAAAAAAACTATTTAAATCTTTGTTAAAGAGTATACCAATTAAATATACATATCCATTATTTCCGACCAAAAATTAGTTTTAGTTTAATTAATAAAGTATTCTAAATAAATGTGTGTGTGAATTTGGCTCAGAATCAATATAATAATAAGTTATGAAGATGAACGTTTCTGTTTTTATAAATAAGCATTCGTCAAAAAATGAAATAAAATATATAAAGTGTTACTTTTTACCACACTGTCTAATACACACACAAAATTCAGTTTTTGAGTATTTGGAGCAAATATTATTAATCAACGTAAACAGTCAATTAATGTAGTTTGAATGCTCGGATCATATTAATTGGTCCTTGTTAACAAAAAATATTTAAACAGTTTTTTTTATTTTTTAATGAAATAAGCGAACTATATCGACAATATTAGTATCTGTACTCTTTGAAAATTTGTTACATCTTTAAAAATAATCTAAAATGTCAATATTTCATAGGTATAATGATAAATGAGGTCTAAATTATAAGAAAATGCATTTTCGACAAAAACTTGAAGAGATAGGTAAAAAATGATATAATACAATTTGATAGACAATTACATTGTGCATGTGATTCATGTAAAATATATAGGGTGTTCCGTTTAAATTAAACAAGTTATTGCCGTTTAAAGCTAGTAATTATTTAATATAAATTTTTGAACACTCTGTATAAGGTAGTAAATTTTTTATTATAGCAACACAATATTTGATCAATAAATAATCTTCAGTAAATATTTAGTATTAAAAGCTTTGATACCCTTGGAGAAATAAAGCCTTAAAATTTTTAGTGCAATTTCATAAAATTGAAAATATTTCAAAAACGGTAAGGTTTAAGTGTGATAAACCTTAGTCAAATTTACCTTTATTTCAATCGTAGAATCTAAAACTAGAATAATATACAGGGTGTTCCATTTAAAAAAATAAAACTATAATATTTTTAACTTATTTGGGACACTCTGTATCTTGTAAAAATATTTTTAAATTGTAGCTCTAATAGTCCTTCAACGAACCCAGAACTTACTATTTGTAAAAATCTAATCGTTTAGCTACAATACTCCGTGTCGTATGTGGTGAACAACCCTGTATATTATATTGCAGAAATCTGCCAGTTTTACATAAAACGTTAAATGCCGAACGCCTATTTTGCTACTTTTTCGGCTAGTAAAATTGACTCTTAAAATTCTTTAATGAAAAATCAACAGATAAATAAAAACAGGTATTCTGATTATATTTTGTAATTTTCCAGTAAGAAATAATAATTGAGGATTATTTTTTGATAATTTGGCATTCTCTGAATTTTTGTGGATCAATTGTTATAAGAATTATGTTAGGAATATTTGAATAAATTAGGGTGACTCAAACATTATAGTGAATATATAGACTATCCAGCAATCGTTCACCGTTCACCGTTACGTCATCATTATTATTTGTCAAATATGAGTTTCAGGGTGTGTCTGAGATTAGTTCATATTGTTTAGAAAATTTTATTTTGATTCATTGATTCATTTTTTCTTGAAATCTTCACCAGTTACGATCCTTTTAATTCCAATCCTTTGGACTGTTAAAATTCCTCCTCCTACAGCATCAGTAACTCGCTGTTTTATTTCAAACCAAACCAACAACGCTACCAATTTGTATTTTGCATAGAAATATTACACCTTTGCTTAATTTGCTTAATTAATTCACCTGGTGTATAAATAGATTCTTGAACGGCGCCCCAATACCAAAAGAGTGGAAAATCGCCTATATATCCTCAATCCACAAAAAGAGAAATAAACAAGTGTGCTCCAACTATAGAGGTATATCAGTAACAAGTACCCTAAGTCGATTATACGGACGGATCCTTAGAGATTTAATAGAACAGGAATACCAACAACAAGAAGAGGAGGAACAATCTGGTTTTCGGACTGGGAGAACCTGT